CAACTATTTTTTTTAAAGAGGGTAAATCTCAACGAGACAATACTGGAAGGGCATTCAGCAACCCATGCAATTTTATGATTCTCCCTGCATTTTCTATATATATTGCTCAGCTGTGCGGCGAGTAGAGGAGTCGGAAAAAAGGCATTAATTATGCAAGTTAGCCCAGTTAAAGGAAAAACAGGAAACTGGGAGATCTCTGGTGTACGACAACGACCGAATGGGGCACGGTTTTAGCTGAACCGCCCACTGATTGCCTAGGATTTTGGTAGTTCCCTACTGTCCACTTCTGCAAAGCAAAACAATTGTTATGCTTACTAAAATTTCTTATTAGGCATATTTTCCCGAGGATAAGGTAAATGAAGCGTGCAGCGGTGATGCCAAGCCCCTTCTTAAATGATGATTTTACATAAATGGTGGTCGTGGTGAATTCACAGTAAGTTCCTTAATCTCAATCTTCTGTTTATGGTAACGTTTAGGTCAGGATGGCTAAAAAGACTTAGTGCAACAGCCTCTTACAGAAAGTGCAAGGATTCAGTTTTTAAAATGACAGCTTCTTCGAACTCTGACGGATTCACACATTTAAAACCAGCAAGTATGCCGTTGGTTGAATTTTGAAGTTATCGCTGCATAAGCTTGGATATGCGCCTAGACGATAACATGCTAGGTGTAAAAGCGGCTGAAATGTATAGTATCGTGGTTTGGTGGAGGGCCTCCAACGTAAGCATGATCTGTATATTACCATAATAAATTTATATGATAATGAAGTAAATAAAATATGCAGGTTGGTAGAAAAAGTTAGTGCGGTTGTCAGGGGATGTGAGGGTTAGGAGGGGGGGGGATCGGGGTCAAAAAATCTGATCAGCGTTAGGGGGGACTGGTATTCGAGCTAGGTGATAAGCTGCTGGCTGTTAGATTAGCAGCTTTTGGCCATGCTAACTGCGGCGCCGCGACGGAGTTCTTTTGGGCGCACAGGACCAGTCGGCGTGGCTTAATGGCGGCCGCTTCTGCCGTAGTCAACAGACGCTGTCCAAGGAATTTTGAATAGCTTGAGGACACCTTGTAAATCATTCGGAAGGCCTCTCTGGCATCCACGCGATGTTCTGAGTCTACCAGATGCGCTAGAATGGAACTGTTTATACCCTTTAGTTGGCCCTTCTCTAACCATGCTAGAATTTGTTCCCGTATTCTTTTGGATAAACGCCGGCTTGTGCGACCGATATATCCTGCCCCTACTTAATTACCATATAAAAGTAAAGGCTTGACGAGAATTTATTGAAAAACAACGTATGTTCGCCAATTTATCTTCTGAAATTTTCAATGGGAATTTTCGCAAACTTAAAAATTACCATATTAGCAAACAGTGTAACGTAGAGACAGGGTAGTAGAGGAAATCAGCTGATCCAAAGAAGTTTTTCGATAATGACAAAGAAGGAAAGGAATTATTTTTTACGTGTTAGCTCATCCACTTTCACTGGTACTTCCAGTTGCAAACGAAACTTTACATAAAACACTGAAGACATGTTGGTTGTCCTGAATCCCGTGTGAAACCAGCAGACGTATTCTAGTAGGAGCGACGAATCATGGAGGACTTTCGTTTATTAACGTAAGGAGTAGAAGTGGGTCAAGGAAATATGGCAATTGACTTTGGACAGTGTCCAAAAACACAACGGAATGGATGTGTCCATTCATGGTTACACAGGACCATTGAACCAAAGCTCGCATGTTAATGTCAGCCTTAAAGCACGCAGACACTTGGGGAATGCTTTTAAAAATCATATTCATTTGAGATTCAGAACATGAACTTAATTGTTAAAACTAATAAGATCTGCAAGAGTTTTCATGCAACCTAAAAGAATGATGTCTGCAAGCTACTCAAACAAAAATCGATAGTTCATTTTAGTGAGCCAGCCCTGAATTTTATTGTAGATCCCTGTCCGATCTACAAGCCAAGGGATAAGAAACGCATAGTAAATTAAATTATTTACTTTTCAAAAATCTTGACACCAACAAATGCTACACTGCTTAGCTAACTATATCATATCTACGT